AACTAGAATAAATAAAAATAAATTAATTGAACAGTTTAATTGAGTTTACTAATAGGTTAGCGTGTTCATTTTTTATTTTTTTTTGTAATTCACCTCCCAAAGGCTGAGAAGGTCGCTACAGAGGGGGAGACTATTTATGGTTATAAACCTATCTGACTCTATAACTCCGAAACATAAACCTTGAAAAACAAGGCCGCTTCGCGGAAAAACAAGTTAAAATTAAAGGATAAAAAAAAAGATATTAAAACATAAAATTAAAGGATGAATTGGAGGAGCCGGAGCAAGTTTCTATTTATTTTTATTCATAACTTTCTATTGTTTTTTAAGTAACTGCTGAGTATCAGTTTCTGAACTTGAATAGTCAAAGTTATGATGCGATACATCTCTGTAAAATAATGAAAGAAAATCAACATCATGATATGATGATCATCATCTAAATTACATAAAATTACATGATGATCATCATGAGAAAGAGCATTACCTGGTAGGGCAAAGACTTTTCGGAATTCTATTTTCTTCTGAATTAATTGAATCTTCACCCTCGTTATTTGAAAAAAAATCTGATGAAACTTTTGCTATAGGCAGTTTTCTCTGGCTTTTTCATATGACACTAAAAAAAATGGGGCTTAAAAATCAAAATAGTGGAAAACTGTTTGGAAAAGAAAAAAAAATTTAAAAAAACATAAACTTGTAAATATTTTTGTGAAATAACTAATCAGAGTTATACATGATACTTATGTCATAATCAGTCCAATTATCTCCAGGAACTTCACATTTTTTAATGGCTATGTTAAGGCGTTCAGTCTTATATGAGCAGGGCCATTGACAAATACCATTTGTTACCCATTTAACGGGAACAACAGCCACCAAATCTTTTTCATCAAGAAATTTAACAATATGATACAATATATCCATTATTTATTTAGAAAAAAACTATAGACTAAATATAGTAGTATTATTGTTATGTTATAATTAATAATTATAGTGTATTGGTTAATAATTAAAAAAATTTTTTGAGAAATTTAAAATATAGAACAGCAAAAAATACAAAAAGTAGTTAAAAAAATACAAAGGAGATAAAATTTGAAAACAAATACAAAAAACACATCACATAGCTATTAAATTGCTAACTATCAAACGTATCATTGTAAACAATATTAATATAATAATGTTATTTTTAAAAAATAGACACTTAATAAATAATAAAATAATTAATTTATTTATCAATATTAAAATAAATAAATTATGTACAAGTTCCAACAAATTTAATTATAACAAGTGAAGCAAGGGTGACACGACAAAACCATTATCAAATTGCAACAAGACACACTTGAGAAATTTGTCATCTAAAATTGCAATATGTTCAACTTTATCTAAATGTGATACTAGAAATATTCCTAACATACTTGAATCACAAGGATAAGTAGAAAAATTTGATTTTTTCAAAAATAACAAGTATACAAAATAGATAATATCATCAAAAACACAAATATTTTTCACTAAGCAAATTTCATTTTCTATTTTAACAAAGTTATTGCCAGATGTTGTTTTAAGACAAAAATTTGGTAAATAAACTTCATTATATTGTAGTGAAAATCTTAAAAAATCAGGGCATGGTCCTTTGTTTTGTTGGTTTTTATGTTTAATTTTTTGATCAGGTAAAAATATTTTGATCAGGTAAAATTTGTTACAGCATCACATTCTGACTGTCTACGAATAATTTGAGCTAAAGGATGTTGTGGTTTTCTTATCATTTTTTTTAATGCTGCAAGTAATTTTCATATGGAAATCTAGATATTTTATCTAAAGTCCCATGATGTTGAACATCATCAGCCAAATGGATTAAACTATGAACATTTTAAACGATCATTTCCTGGCCATACAATAGTTCAAAATGGTTAACAAAATTAATTAATAAAGTTTTAGAATAATTACATCTAGATACACAAAAAGTTGGACTTGCTATAAGAAGTGTGGCTACATATAACAGCATAATATTATTATACAACTCAATTGAAAACACATTATGTAAAAAAGCAGCACCTGTATACAATAAAAATTGGCAAAATTTGATTGCCTTCCATCGTGAAACTTCTTTAAGTGAGCAAGGTTTTCGTGCAAATTCAGTGGGAAGCCATTTGCCTAAAAAAGTTAATGCATTTAATATATGCTTTTAACACAAGATGATCGTAATTGACAAAACAATGTTCCTGACAACCACAACTTAAGCATTTTCTTTTAAACTCCCAAACAGGCTGAATGGATATAATCATGCGGAAATTGAGTGACCATTCCAATATCAATATCCAAAAATGGACTTTGAATGAAACTTTCCCCAATTTTTAAATGGTGATCATCATTGTGCATTAATCGAAAACTTTCATCTGTTCGGACAGGTGCATCTACCAATGGGTAGGTCTTCGACTAGCTATATGCTTACCAATTTGGTTACATTTATCACAACCATAACATGCATTGTGACCTTTTACAGCTTTAACAAATGCTCTAGCATTTCTTATATATATATATACATATTTCTTATATATATATTTATATATATATATATATATATATATATATATATATATATATATATATATATATATATATATTTATAAATATCTTAGAGGTGACTGTAAAGAAAGAGTCACCTCTAAGATATTTTTCTATTGATGCTCTGGAAGTTTCATTTTGAGTAGCTGCTTATCTTTGTGATATTGAACTGATTTAAATCGCATTGATGGCATTTTACCATGTTATTTTTTGATATTGCAAAATAAATAAAAAATACATATATATATAGCGAAAAAAAATCGAAAAAATGTATATATATATATATATATATATATATATATATATATATATATATATATATATATATATATATATATATATATATATATATATATATATATATATATATATATATATATATATATATATATATATGTATGTATATATATATATATATATATATATATTTATATTAAAAGATACTATATATTTATATATTATAATAGTAATAATAATAATAGCAATAATAACTTAAATCATTAAAGAACAGAGCATCATTACCTTAAGTAATATTTAGGTTACAATATTTTGCTTCTTTAATAGCCTGAGTTTTTCAGAGATAACTTGTTTTACCTTACAAATGAGAGAAAGTAGTATTTGAATAACTAAATGATTTAATTAAATTAATTTTTTAACATTAACTTTGTATCAACACAAAAAATACTAAGTTTACAACACAAATATAAAATATAGTTAATATTGAAAATATGTAATGGTTACAAATTGATACATTATGCGGCCAGTAATTCAGTAATATTTATTAGTATACATTATGCGGCTAATAATTTAGCGATGTGAGTGGTGCTACACAAACCCCTTCAAAATTCTAAAAATTATTGTTTGCAGTTCAACAAAGTGTTTAAAGGATAATAATATTACTTAATTTCTAAAACAAATGTTCTAAAATACCTGGACCTAAAAAAGTCCATCATAAAAATATTTTATATATGTTTAAAAAATCCATTACCAGCTAGTTTACTTTTCAAAATAACTTCAACATAGTATAAATATTCTATTTATAGCGTCAACTTAGTATAAATATTTTATCAACCTGTTTGAAATGTCTTTGAAAAGAGTCCTTACAAAAGCGGCTATTAAGGTGTCCCAAAAAACGTATTTTTTTTAAATTTCAATGGGCTCTCCATTGATCCCCATTTTATAGGCCTTAAATAGTTACCATAATCTTTATTTTTTTTGACTAAAAGTGATAGATGTAAATTCTGAGTTTTGCGGTATTATACTCATGTATATTTACATAAAAACATGGATATCTAGTAATTCAATAGGTTTTAATATGATGTAATAATTAGTACACAAAGAGTTCCCGTAGGACAATATTAAAGGATAGTATCATTCCATATGAACATTGTTAGCGATTGATATAATTTTCTCTAGACAGTGTTATTAGTTGGTTCGCAAATAACTTAATTTAAAAATTTTTTCTGAAGGAAACAATTTCTAATTGGAATTATTTGTGCACTAAGGCATTCTAAATTGTGCACGAATAAATTCTTGTGTAAACGGTTATAAAAGCCTTAACGGTAAACTTAGATAAAACATGATACGAGAAGAAATAACGACTTTATAGATTTTTAAGTCAAGTGTTAAATTTACTATAAAATAAGTTAAAAAACTGAATATTTCGAAATTCATATAAAAAAATGTTGAACAGCTAAAAAAAAGAAGATGGTAGGACATAATAAGAATAAACGGAGAAATACAGAAAGGTTGAGGTATACCTTTTGAAGTACCCACTGAGGGATTTACCTCAGAGACAGCTTCCATGTAATAGTGATATTCTAAAATACTATCAATTTATCCTTCGTGAGTCACAAGTAAAATACAAACCCACTTCTACTAATGTTGGTGGCAAATTGAAATCAAAATCCAAGGATCTTGTTTGTAAAAATGTTGTTTGTACAGATCCTGATAACTCATGCTTGGTAACAAGGATTAAAAATATTCGGGATAATGCTGGGTTTGGCAAGAAATTTGTGATTTTTGGGTACAATATAAAGACCAAAATCATTAAAGTTAATCTAAAATACAAGAAATTGATTAAATTTTCTTCTCTAAACTGGAAAAGCAGCCTTGATAAACAATCAAAGTTAGAAAAAGATTTTCCATTAGAATCCTATCAGCTATTTGACATCTCCACTAAGAATTTTAAAAAATATATTCTAGCTGATAGATTGAGAACATATAATGCCAAGTCAATTAACTACTTTCTTAGTTGTGAGATTTTTTTTTCCGATTAAAAGTAACTTAAGCAATAGCATATTATTTCCTTTAAAATATTTACGTTTAACTCCTTTCATGGTTTGGCCATCTTCCAGGAAAAAATAGAACAATTATTAATTTATTTATGAATATCTTACTAGAATTAACTATTTCTTAGTCTTTATGAAGACCAAATATTGGAAAAA